AAAATAAAGATCCCTATTTCAAGTGCATGCTGATAAAAGACTGACTACAAACATCCTGTTCTCTACATAGGTAGCCACTTCTCAACATGTTAATTTAAACAATTAAGGATGCAATGGATAAAGTGTGGATAACTGTGTGACTTACCACGAAAGACCATCACTTTCGTAAAATCTACTGGTCAAAATCACAATTCACTGGTCTGAATATAGATTATGACAGGACTTGACATTTTAATCTGTTGCATTATTATTAGTTATATCAAGACCTTGATTTTGTCAAACAATTTTTATTTAGAATCATTATGTAACAGTTAAAAATTAAATCAAGTCGAAAGTTTTTTTCAAAATAAAAACCCTATTGGCCTTGTCAAACCACTTAATTCATACATGTTTTCTAAAAGAATCTACTGGTCCAATGAAATTATACTGGCCAGTAGTGTTTCAGGTGTAGGACCAATGGCTAACATACAGAATGAACTTAAATGCGACCTTTTACATCTGCTGCTATATATGGATTATGCGTCAATCAAACTTATGTGGCTCAATATTTATGATTTGATTGAATTTTTGGACAAGAAGGATGTCAGTAGCAAGGACTGTACAAATAAAGGTTCAAGAATGACCCTAGGATAGAGAGTGTGGTGAACCTCTACATATAAGTTTGTAGAAAAATGTTTTGCAGTCTAGATGATACAAGCAAATAAGTGCACCCTATACCTCATTAAAAGAACAACCATTTTTCTTGTCTTTCAGGGTGTAGGCACGATTTCTTCTGAATTTCAAAAAAGTACAATAATTTATGAAGCCCCAGGTAGGGTATTTCAATATATTTCTATGTAAAATTATAGTCTACTTGTTTTTTATTTGCCATTCCTGTTCAAGTTCCATTCAGTTGAAATTCCTGATTGAATATGTGTTGAAATGTTGGTATGCCTTAGCCTTTCAGCAAATGAATAATAGAAGAACACTTTATTTTACTAAAACCTGTAAAGATTAGACATCAGAAATGTACAGATTTATAACAGGCTGTTTATTTTTTATCTGCAGTTGAACTACGTAAACGATCAGACTATTTAGTTAATAATCCAGAGGATGAAAAGATCATTGCACCTGATGAGTAAGTTGTATTTTGAATAATTCTAGATAAATTTCTGTTAATTAATGAATTGGTGAGAATTCATTGTATGGCAGACCAATAATAGATAAGATTTTTTGTGCAACTGCCTTAAGACAGCTGATATTTTGATTAATATTGTTCCTTAATTCATGATAAAATGTTCTTGTTGACTATTTTGCAGTATTGGCTTACCATGGTGAAAATATTACTCTTCTGAACATCTCATTCTACATGTTACTGCATAGATTTGACATTTTGACAGTTATTCTTTCTTAAATGAACATTTTTTATAAAATTGAATCAATTTTTATTTTCAGAGAGAGCACTGGCATGGTAATGCATAAAGATTCCAGGTGGTCTCAAAGTTGGCAGAATTTTAAAGACAGCAACCAGTATGTTCATAGTAAGTTTGCTTTCAGTCTTTTTTTACTGTTACATAGTTAATTTTTTCTTTACTTAGTTAAAATCATTAAGCTTAGTGCCATGATATGATTGCTCCAGACAGAGGTCTGACATAAAGTGTAATTTTTAAACCACCTGAATAAACTAGGTACCAGAATAACACTATGTAGAAAGTGTTATAAACTTAAGTTGCTTCATATTTTATGTAAGTTTCAATTTATAGCAAATAAAGGTACCTACATTTGATTTTTTTCAGAATTATTTGACCTTAAAACTAAGTATGATGAAAGTGATCATTTAGCAGTGCGGATGACTAGGGCATTCACAGACAGAATTGGCAGTGTATTTGGTCAGTATATTTATGTTATCAAACTAAGTGACTTCATCTATTGTGCAATTACTGTGTGATCTACAATAATTCATTATGAAGCACACATATTATCTTGTTGTTTTGGGAGAAAAATATTCCTTGTAGTCTGAAAGGAAGGGTACAACATAAGTACAATACAAAAACCATGTGAATAAATTGTACCCTTAATGGAGGTTAATATTTTATTGCAGGAGGGATGCTTCAGCCAACAAAGATGTCGGAAGTGCTGACTGAGATTGAGAAAATGGATCCCACCTTTGAAAAGGAGAAGTTTCTACAACAGTGTAGGCAAGACTTAGTTCCCAATGTACTAGAGGTAGGTGTGAAAGCTGTTCATTTCATGTTTAGAGCTCTGAAAGATATTGATTACAAATGTTAACTTGTAAATGATAAAATACTGCAAGGTTCATACAGCCTTGAAAAGTGCTTGAATTAAACCCTGTGCCTTGAATTCAGTTTGTGCCCTTGAAAAGTACTTGAAATTGCTATTAGCCTTGAAGGGGTTTCTATTTCACCATTTTTGTTCTTGAAAAGAACATGAATTTGATCACTTTTTGTCAAAAAATTTTTTCCCATTCTTGCAGTTTTTATGTGGAACAAATACAGTAATTCACAAAAATAGAGAATATCGTATTTGGACATTGTGTAATTTTATTATTTTCACATTTCATCATTAGTGTGTTTAATAAAAGTTTGTATGAAATAATAAGGCTTTTTTTCTGTGGTATGTACTTTTATGAATGACAATAAGTTGCCACCATGTGCATTCAAAAGGTCCTTGAAAAAATTGAATTAGAGTCACTAAAGTCCTTGTATTTGTTATTAATGTTGCTGTATGGACCCTGTACTGCTAGATTAATTGAGCAACTTCTTTTATGCCCATACTGTAATTGAATCCTGGCATTTTCCCCTTCTGTCATCTTACCAATTTTCAAAAGTATATATTAACAGCATATTGTTTTATTTGTATGTGCTGTACTATTATTTATATTTTTCTTTCAAGTCTTGGGTCAGGGGAGATCTAGAAATCCTTCAGGACTGGTGCTATGAAGCAGTGAGTACTATTTCTCATGTAGGATGTGTAATTAACATGTTCATTACCTCTTGCAAGTGCTAGAAGTTCTTGAGTACTTTTGTGTTTAAATATGCTGTCTTAATGCAGTTGTACAGAACTCTCACAGGCATTCAGAGTAAAATATGAATATATAAGCTTGACTGGAGATATCTTTTGATTAACAGAGGTACAGATATTATAGAGCAAAAGCTGTTTTATAGATGAAGCAATAAAGTGTGCTCAAACTCCTTATCTTTCAGGCATTCAATGTGTTGGGTCAACCAGTGCAACAAAATTTAGCCATGGGACTAAAATCTCAGTGCAAAGTGTTAGATATAAGCCCTGTTGAAGTAAGTGTAGAAATCGTGGATTTCTCTTCATTTTCGTAAAGTGGATTCTTACAGATACATGGTTGATGTTAAGGATTTTACTCTTGATTCTAAGAAAATCACAAATTTACATTTAATCTGAATTAAAATAAAATGACAGTTAATAGAATAAAGGCAGTGAAAACACAATGGCATTGTCGGCAGAATGTTTTAATTGGAGGCTTTGTGGTGTTCTTGTTGCCCACGTAATGTTCAGGCACCCAGCCTTCCTTTAAGGCGATTAAATATTCTATATTATAGCTGGCAGCAGGACAGCTGATGGAGCAGGGGCCAGTGCTGATCATCAGCTTCTCCACACAACAAGTGGAAGCATGGGTAGATAAATCTAACAAAGTTGTCTCAGGAGATCCTGTAAGTTATGTATGAGATAATACACTGTCAACCTGGACCCCGTAACTCGAAAACATCGCGCATCGTGACCCAGCGCAAGCATCTCGATTTCGTAACTCCATACTCGTCCCATATAATACATTGTAGCCTCTATGTGATATTGCTATTGGCAATATGCAATGCTTTCAAGTTGCGGGACCCTGAGCCATGTATACCAAAACACCTCGAGCATCGGCAAAGTGTTTGGTGCACATATAGCGAAAGACTGGCAGTATATTATTTGACATAGATTTTGAAAGGAAGTTACTAACAAAAACACTGCTAAAACCCAGTAAATATCTCCACGGTCACATAACATTTCTCGGTGTGTAATAAGAGACATGTCTGCCTTGAAGAGACATATGGATATGCTGTTGTAATTGATTTAACCAGCATTGGTATCAATCAAAGAAAGTGGAATTGAACCATGCAAATATGCAAAGAATAAGGCCTATTCAACATAATAGTATATACAACATTCTGTAAATATCAAAGCAGACTACCATTTCATTTATCCTAGCATTTGAGAAGTCATTCTTTTTGTACATTTATTCTTCAGGACAAACTTTTGAAGGTAGTTCATGTGTGGGCCCTGTGCAGAGATCAGAGTATTCTGGACCCCAGAGCAGCATGGCGAGTGTTGGAGTTCAGCTTCCATCCTACTGAACAGTTGTTTTAAACCAGAACTCTGTCAGAAGAATTTCATCAAAAGAAAGCATTTGTGATCATTACAAATGCAGTGTTAAGAACAAGTTCTGAGGTTTCATTTTAATGAGCAGTTGTCCAAGACGACATAGAATTGACCTTTTTTCAAAAGGAGGCCATGGACTGTTCCAATTTTTTTAAAATTAAAACTTGTGTGCTGAATGGAATGCACACATAAGAACAAATATTTTAAAGCATTAAAAATTGTTAAAAATTTTTTATGTTGAAACAGAAGGTATAGTGTCTTACATGGCTTTTTGTGATAATTGTTATCACAACCACAGAGCTTGATTGAAATTGGATCGATAAATTATCAGTACAATATGAAAATATTTAAAATGCATAGAAGAATTATATGGCTAAAAATAATGCAAACTTATAGGTAATGTTTTAATAATAAAACTGCAGTTTGATTAAATTAATACGAATTGTTTCTTATAAGTTCATTTTATTCTTGCGAGTAATTTATCAAATATGCTGAAAGAAAAGACACACTCAGTGGCCATCCCGTAGTATCTTAAAGGGATAACAACTGTTTGTATGATATCCATATTTTACAATAAATGCATTGCAAACAACTCATAAAAATATAATCGATTCTATTTTACCTCCAATACCGCAGTTCATGCAACTATTCTGGAATTTTTGCTTGCCATCACATCATGTGACTTCCATAGATGGCTATACTCTGTAATAATCTCTTAAGAGAATATTACAAAAAAACAAACTTTTTAGAAAAAAAAAAAAAAACAGGGACTAACTTTGAATGTTGGAATGGATTCATTTACCATTGGTAAGTATGGGAAAATTGTCCTTTACTCTGGGAAAATCCATTTTTTGGCAAAAATGAGTTTTTATCCCTTTAAGCAACCTTTAACATTTTCATCTACTTCATTTGTCCCTTCGAGCTAATGTTATTTCAAAATGCTTGCAAAAATACCCAAAACTGTACTTCCCAAAATAGGGCGACAATTCTGATCTTACAGCATTGGATTTGCTGAATGGTGTCATTGTGAACATGCTCCAACAATTGCAAACTACCTCACAATTTCAAATCTTCCTTGAAAGATCTATATCCCATACTTAAACTTCCCACTACAAGGGTACATGTTGATAACAATGTTAACTTGGTTAAAAAGTCACGCCCCAAGTATTGGACTTTATTTAAACTTAATTTGGCACTACACCTCTAAACAATATTTTTGCTTGTACAACATAAGGTTGTTTATCGACAAACACAGTAGCTGTATTTTAAGAATTTGAGCATAAGGAAAATATCAATTTTCCATTTGGACATATACAGCTGAATATGAGGTATGTGTGACACTGGTTCATCAAGAGTGGCAGATATGTAGCAAAGTGATGCCCTTATCCCTTGTGACTATCCATGAATCAGTGAATGTAACCCTGTTAGAAATATGACTCTTCAGGCCTCTTTCAGGTTTGCTATCTAGCCTATTTCATCCTCTGACTGGCAGTCTTCATCAGTATCCTGATCACTGTTGTCCTCAAATGTAGCAGCAGAACCAGTGTCAGAAAGCTTGCCTTCAGCTTGAAGTCTCAAAAAAGTTCCTGTAAAAATAAAATATGCATAAATAAACTTTATATTATTCATAAGCAGCAGCTACAGCATTTCAAAATGTACACTTCATCTTCCACACATTTCAAGCAATAGCTACAGATGCTTACAGCATAATAAAAAGATGTATGGGCAAGTTGTATTGTACTTTTTGGCAGATAACAGAAATTTTGAGAAATTTTGTCCTGTCCACATTCTTGAATCTAAAAATGTCTTTGCCACACATCTACACTCACTCCGTTTCCTTTCTGGCAACATTTTTAACTCCTGCTGGAGCTGACTGTTTAATGAAGCCTCTTCTTCAGCTGACAAGCCTGGCCTGTAATGTTTACATGTAATTATCAGTGCTATAGCAGTCATCACAAAAGAATAAACATGCAGCCCATTGACCATATTAAAAAAAATGACATTTTACAATTTTTTAAACTGACAAATCTGAAGGGCTTCTATTTGATTATATTTTTGTTTCACATATATTTTGTCTTCAGACTTTTTTAAACTGTGAGAGTTTAATACCACTCACCCTTGTACAATATCTTTCTTTTCTCCACATTTTGCACAAACCCCATGATGTTTTGCACAGTCTGTGCAAATCATGTAGTATGCTCTCTTAACTGATTTCTGTTCACATTTTGTGCTAAGGAAAAAATCAGAAAATGAAAAATTTAAGTGTAAGTCTATATCTTTTCAAATTAAAAAAAAATGGTAATTTGAAATTTGCTTCCTTCTGCATTATAAAACTACAGGAGTAACAATATTAAATGAAAAAAGCACGAGTGGGTAATAAAGCTATTCTTTATTTCACTTTCCAGGCTGACAAACAAGGCTTGTTCCTGCCAACCCTCCAGCCGTCATTTGGACAGTCACTAGCATCACCGGACAACCTATATTTCCAAAGACATCTGGACAGCTTACGAATTTTTTTCAAATGATGGCTTGGCTTGTTGGGGTGGCCATGGACGTCATACAAAATTCTGTTTGAGTACCGTAATTTGTCATACCCAGCCTGTATGGTGCATTCCAGTCGAATATAATATTAATACTTTGTAGTGCATGCTGTTAGTCAGTCACGATGTAACTAATACCAACAGCTTACAAAACACAATAAAATGTTTCCATTAACTTTAAATATAATCTACACCAAACACAGCAGTACATACAACAACACTGACAGACAAGAAGGCAATTTTCATTTCTTCAGCAAGATATCATTCGCAAGATGAGAAGGCAATTTTCATATTTGTTCAAAAGACTTCATGGGCTGAAGATCGGATGCAGAAGATAGTTACCGATCTGAGTGAGATAAGAAGGCAATTTTCATATTTTGTTCAAGGGATATTCTTTGCGGAAGATTGTGAGCTGTAGATGGTTTGCGATCCAAGCAGGACAAGAAGAACAGATACTTTGTTCATGGAAGATCGTCAGCTGATTATTCACAATCATATTCATTCAAGGGAGTTTGTTTTTAATCCGAGCGAAATGAGAAATCAATTTTCATATTTGTTCAAGGGGCTTCGTTTGCAGAAGATCGCCTTGCTACGTGTACCTAAATACCACCTATATAAAAACAAAGAAGAATACAAATACTGTATAGTAGCATGCCTTATTTTGTTATACCCTTACGGCTAAACCTTCAACAGTTTTTTTATCAAATAAAATATAATCATTTTCTTACCACTTTTTTGGGACAGTGAGAGGCTTATATTTCTTATACTTGATCTTCCAGTCAATGATGTCTTTGCATCTGGCACACACCCCTGTGACTTCCAGTGAGTTTATCTCCTTTGTCTTCTTGCTGGTATCATGAAGTGAATTCTTGAAAGCCTTCTTGTTTTGATGTTTCGGTGGGCCAGTTTTCCTGACGTTGCCTCTTTGCGAACTCATGTTTTACAGACTGTTAGGGGACAGGGCATTACCCGCACGTGTTGGAGCTTAGAAGTCAGTGATAGAAAACATTAGGTACGGGCAGAGTAATTTTAATAATGATTGCGTTTTATACAATGTTACATATACATCCATACATATTGTTTTTATTTATAAACACAAAAAATTTCAAAACTATATTTAAAATAATCCAATGGGGTTTAATGATTAAATATATAACGCGGAAGTAAACTGCCCGTATCTCTGCCTCACTTTCGGACAAGTGACGTCACGGGGAAGAAAAGAGAAAGCTGTGGATTGACGGTACTTATTTTCTCTTAATTTTCAACCACTTACTGAAGTTGTGACGACCAGGAGCTTTAATTGTGAAGTGTCATATAAGGAAAAAGAAGTTCACAATTACACTAAGCAATACTTTCATAATGAATGGTTTATCATTTAGCGAACTTTGTTGTCTATTTTGCTGTCCTCCGTGTCCATCCAGAATTGCAGCCAAACTAGCATTTTTACCACCTGAACCTACCTATTCTTTCGTATCGGACGAAGCAGGTTCTAAATACAGCTTGCATCTAACAGAAAAATCAGAATGGCAGTATTCACAGAGAGAACTAGATTGTATAGAAGTTTTTATGACTCGCACATCAAAGGGAAATAGAGTAGGTTGTATGTTTGTAAGAACATCTCCAAACGCCAAATACACTATTTTGTTTAGTCATGGAAACGCCGTAGATTTAGGACAGATGAGTTCTTTCTACATTGGCCTAGGATCCAGAATAAACTGCAATATCTTCAGCTATGATTACTCAGGGTATGGTATGAGTAGTGGGAAACCGTCAGAGAAAAACTTGTACTCTGACATTGATGCAGCTTGGCAGGCACTTCGAACGAGATATGGAATCAGTCCAGAGCATATTATATTGTACGGGCAGAGTATCGGCACAGTACCAACAGTTGATCTGGCATCACGATATGAAGTGGGTGCCGTCATTCTTCATTCCCCACTGACATCTGGCATGAGAGTGGCATTCCCTGAGACCAAGAGAACATGGTTCTTTGATGCATTCCCTAGGTAGGTGAAACAAGACCTGTGGCCAATTGGATGGGCAGGCATTAAAAAATGATGGATAAGTTTAGCAAATCCATCACAGAAAATTTACCATGAAAATGATGCAATTAAAATTTTGCCACCATTCTTTATAATTGTTAATATTTGCTAACCACCACTTAATTAAATTTCAAACTCAAAAATATAGTTTTGAAGAGGACGGCCTTTAAGATATTTGAACAGGTCATATTTGACAAAAGTTTTCAAAAATACCGGATGATGACATATCTCTTTTTCAGTCATAATATGCCATTAACTTAATGATAAAAGTCATATATCTAGATGTACCTGTATGTATCATTAACTGTGACCAGCTTTTCTCTTCTCTAGTCAGATATTTGCATACACAAACTAGGTAGTAAATGTAAACAAAACATTACCCAAAAGTTTTGTTAGTTATGCTGGTGGCTCTGCTTTTTTTTTTTTTTTTTTTACACTTTTGCAGAGTTTGACTTTTTACATATGTTGGATATGCAGCTTATATAATGCTACCTAAAACATTTAACAATGAAGATAACCAAAATTATATGGGCAACTGTTACTTGGAGAAAATGTTTAGGTGATAGTTAATGGTGTTAGCAATGGGAAATTCTATCTACTATTCTATCGCCTTATTGGGGGGGGGGGCAGCTTTAGTAACATGTTTGAATGCTTTTAATTTTAAACTTCATGAGAGATAGTCTGCCTTTGGGAAGTAAATCCTCCCACCAAAAGACCAGCACATAGATAAAAACTCATCATGAGGATTGAAGAAATGAAGCTAGCAGTCTTTTGTACATGTCAGAAAAAGATATTGGTAAATGGATATTAGAATAAGATTAAGAAAAAGTTTTTAGATAAAGTTTGTGTGTAACAGTAATGATACACTGTCATTAGGTGAACTGCACATCTCAAAGTTCACACTACACCCTAAACAGACACTAAATCATTTGTTTGGTAAACCCAGAAACAGTGCACTAAAGTATGATTAACAGCTTGATTAATAATTAGTTGTATTGTTATAATTAATTTTTGTATACGTGGTCCATACTGACTGTTTCTCTTACCTAATGTGCAAACTTGTCTTAAAGCATGTATCAATAAGGTCTTATCATATAAACACAACTAAATGATTTAAAATCCTAAATACTTCATTGTGCATTTGTCAGTTCTCTCCAAAAATGACTCATTGCTTATAATGGAACTTTATTCATTGAAGTAATTATAAACAGTGAATGATCATTTGCTAGCCCAAGCGTTGGTGATTTAGTTGTAGCCTTTAGGTACAAGGCAATGACTGCTTTGTCTTATAGATTGCTGCCTAAGTATGTATAGCAACTGACTAGATTTCTAGTGGTACTGAGGTCAGACAGAGACAGTCTGTCTTTGTGGTTGCTATTCCTGTCACGGTATTGGAAGGCAAGGAGGTCAGATAGTAGCTGTGATAAAATGTGCACTCTGTTTTTGTGGAGAACATATACCATTATCATTTCTAAAGTTGTTTGTTGGTTTGAGGCCTAGGTACTAGTAGTTAGGTGTTTTACACAATTTTGGTAAAGGTGAATGTTAACTTGTTAAATTGAAAGGATTTCAAAGACATAAGATGTATTGTTTACCTTTTGAAAAGCATATTATTTACCAAACCATTACTTCGGTTTTATGCATTTTGTGAACAGGTTGCATTTCATTTGAGGACAAACATTTAGTCATTTCAGAGAATTTTTGTTGTGGAGATTCCTCTCAATTAAGGCACAATTTGATAATATTGATTTTAAAAGATGCATGTATTTCAAGTAATGAGTCATTATTTTTCAACACTTCAACATTACCAGTACATAAGTAACCCGTTTTGAATATGCAGTAGGCAGCTCTGTTTACAGACATTGTAATTGATATTGACATGTTCACTCTTTTAAGTTAATTGACTTCTCTAGTGAATAAGTAAAGAAAAGGAATAACTAATGAATTGATTAGATCTCCTAAGGTTTGGGCCAATCATCCTGTAAGATAATGACATTCAGCTAGGTTACGTTTTGCTTCTGTTCACTTCACTAATAGGATTCTTCTTCTACAGCGTGTTATGGATAAAAAGACACAAAGGAGTTCTGTTTTTTATGTACAGANCTTGTTAAATTGAAAGGATTTCAAAGACATAAGATGTATTGTTTACCTTTTGAAAAGCATATTATTTACCAAACCATTACTTCGGTTTTATGCATTTTGTGAACAGGTTGCATTTCATTTGAGGACAAACATTTAGTCATTTCAGAGAATTTTTGTTGTGGAGATTCCTCTCAATTAAGGCACAATTTGATAATATTGATTTTAAAAGATGCATGTATTTCAAGTAATGAGTCATTATTTTTCAACACTTCAACATTACCAGTACATAAGTAACCCGTTTTGAATATGCAGTAGGCAGCTCTGTTTACAGACATTGTAATTGATATTGACATGTTCACTCTTTTAAGTTAATTGACTTCTCTAGTGAATAAGTAAAGAAAAGGAATAACTAATGAATTGATTAGATCTCCTAAGGTTTGGGCCAATCATCCTGTAAGATAATGACATTCAGCTAGGTTACGTTTTGCTTCTGTTCACTTCACTAATAGGATTCTTCTTCTACAGCGTGTTATGGATAAAAAGACACAAAGGAGTTCTGTTTTTTATGTACAGACACAGATGTGTCTGTACATATAGCCATCATCTGCGTCTGTCGTCGTCGCCGTCGCCGTGCACTTTTACCGATAAC